TGGATAACGGATAATGTCCTGGAAAATTACTACCTTTTTCATTTTTCTAGATATTTTTCTTACCGTGCACTAACTGATCAACAAACTCAAGTACAAGCTACTAACAAGGTGTATCATAAATGAACAATTATTCAATTATTATTATTATTATTATTATTAAATTAAACAATTGCTAATAGCAGCCAACTTAATTCATGTGAATTGTGTACTGCTAGGCACCTTTGGTTTCCTCTTTTTGTGTAATTTAGATGAAAATGTGTGCCTTTTTTATCGTTTGAGTCACTTATCAAAAGTTGCTAAATGTTGCCAAATACATTTTAAAAATAGCTAAATTTGTTGCTAGGTGCTTTTGGAAGAAAACGTTGCTAGGGTAGTCTGAGAAGTTGCTAAATCTAGCAACAAAATTGCTAAATTGTCAACACTGGGCCTCACTCTAAAACTAGCTGTCCTCATTAGCAAATACTGCATAGCAATGAGTTGAACTTTATTTAACAAAGTTTTAAACATACTAATACTCATGTATATGATAAATGAAAATAAGCTGCTGTATGCATCAAAGTTAGCTGGGTGCACAATTTTTTGGTACATTTTATTTTACATAAAGTGGTCTTCTCATCTTAGTTGAGTTTATCCTTTGGTCTATCTGATATGAACCACTGATTTACAAACACAGGGACATACCTGAAACTTCTCTTGATGATATATGAAGCTAATTATTACTACAGTCTAACCATAAATCAAACCTTACCACTTAAAGATAAAAAAACTTAAATTAAAAAAACTATATTAAATTAAATGAAATAAACACAAACTTTTGAATAGTAAAAACTAGCTTTAGTTAATATATTAAACTATTATGTGTGTATATGTACACACACACACACACACACACACACACACACAACCAGACATAATAGTTTATTATATTAAATAAAACCATTTTATTATTGTATTTAATATATCAAATGCAAGAATAAATTTTGTTTTAATAAGTTATTATTTAGTACAATAAATTATTACATGCATATAATAAATAGCTATGAATATCTGTCCTTTTAAAAAAAATCTAACTAAATAAATAAAAATGTGTTTGGGTGTTTATTTATTTTTGTATATGATTTTATACACACATTTTATATTACATTGTATATTACATTAAGTATCTGTCATATACACACATAATGTTTATTATATAAATAACATATATACATATATAAAATAATATATTTTTAAAATATCATAAATTATTATTTAGTACAATAAATTATTTACATTTATTATACAAAATAACAGTCATATTTGTCCTCAAACTATCTGCTTTAAACACACACAAACAATATATTAAATTAAAATATAAGCAAATAGCTTTATAAAGAATTTGCATCTAATTCCTTCTGTCTTTTTTGATCTACATATGCATTCTAGGAGGGAAAAGTGCGCTATATATTTTAGGGTTAAAGGGGAGTTTTATATGACCCTTCCTGACTTTGAGATCATTTTACCCATAATTCTCCTGGATGCGATTGCTGTTACATATAGCCTATGTTGTAGAGTTATTTTTGGGAACTTGGTACAGTGTTTGAACATCATGACCTGATGTATGTAGAAAGACTTACTATGCAGTCAATCCAATAGGAGCATTGTCTTATGTTAACGATAATGTCCAGATGTATAAATGGACACTTATTCATTTTAAACTGGTTTCATAATGTTAATTTCCCAGTAGAGTTGGACTAGATTAATTTTACAGGGCCGTGAGGGGTCAGCAGGGTAGAGTGGCCTATGGGAAAATAAAAAGATGTCACCACATAATTCATAATTCTGAAAGTTTTTCCACTCACATCCCGCCTTCTCCTAATCGTTATTTGCTACGCTAGCTACGTTAATATGAACGACTCCTAAACTGTCCAATAGTTGACCGCCTTTGTAGCCTACTAGCCAATCCTGGCTCAAGAGGCGGGGCGTGTGTGATATACAGGTGGGGAGAAACAACCGCTGTCCACAGCCGATTAAAACAGAAAAACCGGGTGGAATAGCATTTAGACGATGCTGTCTAGTTTCGCTGTCTGTATTTATACATCTAATATTTTAGCTGTTTAAGATTCTCGCTATTTTTTAATAAAGTGCTCAGAGCGCTATTGAAGACACGCGTTGACCGTTTTGTCACGTGGTACGTGTTACTTTTATCAGCGCTGGATTAGCTGGACTAATCGCATTCTTTTGCGATTAATTGTTTGGTTAATGCAATTCAGTCCTTTTTTTTATAAATGCATTAAGCGTATTTGTAAATATAACTAAAAAATCAACCATTAGTATGAATAGATTCAAACGATTATAGTTTTACATTTATAAATTCCTCCAATATATCAATAATCGAGTTTATATTTGAATGCAGCTCAATGGGAGTTCCGCTTTTTGGGCCTCAGGGAGACTCCTGGAGGACTTTAATAAGAACCAGTTATTAGCCAGCAGCATTTGCAGTCTAATGTCTTCAGCCTCGTTTCTGTGAACCATGTGACGTGTGTTTACATCTTCTCAGCTGTTCCTCGAGAAAAACAGCGCTGGATCTTCAACGCCACGAAAATCTATATCTCACACAACAACAACAACAGTGCGCTCAAAAACACCAAGTCTAATGTGCATCCAGTGTGTTTAGCTCGTGCAAAGCCCGAGACTGATTCATGGCTTTACAAAGGTCAGTGAACATTGTTATTCCGCAGAGATGATGCCGACATTTTTGTTTTGTTGCTTTGCGTTGATCTGAGCAAGCTGAGGAAGATGTCCATGTGGCAGACATTTAAATGCAAACCCACTAACCTGGTTTAACGCACGCGAAAAAGGCCAAAATGGCTGTTTTGAAGCATGTACAAATGTGTTATTGTCTATTAAGTGGTTTGCTGTGCCAGGGCAAACACAATGCCACCGATTTACTGGTTTGCCCAGTCCTGCAGCGTTTAAATGTCATCTAACAGCAATAGAAACCGAACAACTAGAGGGGGTTTTTCGCGTCTCTCTCATCTTATTTTAATCAGATCTCAGTTATCTCAATTCAGAGGTGTTTAAACCAGATGCTGCAAGTTTACTAATACTTATAAGAAAAATAATAACAATAGCAGTGTAACTGTCTCTGAAGCTTTTTTTTTTGTTTTTTTTAATAACTTCCTTTTTTGATCGTTTATTACGCAACACGCACAATAACAAAGACCAGATGCAAGACACACCTGGAAGTATTTGTTCATAAATATTTTAAATGTCAAGTGTTATTGCATAACCCTGTTAATTAGATCTGTGGAGTTGTCGAATAAATAAAGGCATGCAAGTCCTGCTTGAGAGATTATGGCGGATCTAAACACGTGAAACGCTTACATTTTCTCTCTCTATTTTATTTTTATTTGACTACATGTTATTGTCTCGGATATAATGTATAGATGTAATAAGCACCGCACGCGTCGCTTAACTCGGTTTTGTTTTAACGCAGTGCGGATATGTGTAGTGCTTTAGAAGTCCTTTAACTCGACTGCGTCGTGAACTGTAGATCTGAATGCAAACAAACAAACGACCGAAAGCGTCGCAAATACGGGTTTTCTATTCAATATCCACAAAAACGCTATTATATAGCGTTTTGGCTTCATATTTGTTGAGCGATTAGTGCTGTTGTGATGCTATGGCAAGCTGTTTTAACATTTATTCCCTACAGCTGACTATTTTTATGTTACTAGTATCTATTTTGTAAATACTAGTACGCAATCTAACTGTGACTAGTAATATATCTTTTCAGTTTCACAATAACTGCTCATTAGTAGTATTTATTCATGTAGACTGCTAGCATGCTTGCTTATTTTTTTGCTGCTACTAGTTATCAACAATAATTCCTGTTTATTTGCCATTGAGCTCTATTTACAGAACAGAATGGCTACTTTATAGTACAATTAAAAATCTTACCAATCCGAACACACACTTGTTGGCTCTCAGTCACCAGGAATATTGGATAAAGTCGTGCTGAACTTCTGTCTCCTCCACAATATTGGTCTTGATATCCAAACCGTCAACAGAAACGAATTGTTCTAAAATTTCTTCCATTCTACTATGTAAAAAATAATTTAACACGGTTTATTGAATAATCTCATTTGCGTCTTTTCTCTGTGCTTAGTCTGGGTTCGTCTGACCAGCACAAATCTTACCAAACTGCTTCACAACCTCCCATGAAATGTAAGCATTTTTTTCTTATCTGTAACTTGTGAAGACACAATCAGAAGATTAAACCGCAAGAGCATGGAAAATGAGTAATATTATAAACATGAATATCAATGAAAATGAAATGATGAATATAAAATATGGAAGAAAATAAAAACAACAAATGTATGTTTGCTGTCTTGAAGCTGTACACACACAGGTTGCCCTTTATAATGCAAATCTTTCACACTAGAGTCTGGACTAGTGTCTATTCATTTGCTACTAGGAAAACTGGAATAAATATTAATAACTATTTGAATAGTTATAACAATATAGTTTTAAATAAGTATAGATAACAAACCTATATACTACTTAAGTTGTAAGGAATAAATATTAATATATTTTGCCACATGTAATGTAACTTGGCTTTAATGCACATAAAGTTATGTCAGTTATTATAGTTATTATTCTTATTCTTTGAATCTCACAATCATGTAAAGGTCATATTTCACCACAAAATGTGCCCTGCAGGTCGGGTCCTGCTTTATTGGTGTGTTGGGTTTCTCTCTGTGATGACACTGTTCTTCTTATTGAGGCCTGGAATGAATCCGCTGAGAGTTTGTGGCTTCCGCTTTCACTGGGTCAGACAAACGGTGCAGGAGTCAACATGAGGCCATCAGCTTCCATTTAAAATATAGACTATTTACACACATTATTACAGACTATTGCTTCGATAATATTTGAACTGAACTGAGCTGGACGATGACATCACTGAATCAATGATGAACTGACTTTAACTGTTAACTATTATTGTCCCCTTGCATTGTCGACACACTATTTTCCTGTTTAATACTGTAAAGCTGCGTTGACACAATCTGTATTGTATAAAGCGCTATATAAATAAAGATGACTTGACTTGACTTTACACCACGTGTGCTCATGAAACAGCCTGAGGACAGCTGTATATTATAATGGGTAGCTGACATGAAGTTTCAGTTTTTTCATAAATAATGAAGACTATGTAAATTAGACAAAGTAGGCCTGCTTTAATTTAGGTTTTATCTTCACTTGAAAAGCACAGAGGAATTGTAAACTGATTAGTTCTGGCAGAGCATCAGCATTCTGTGATAATGTTGCAATTATGCAACCAGCAAGTTTAAACGTTAATGATGGATCAGCTCAGCTTTATAACAAACTGTTCCAGTTCATTGTTCCACTTCCAGTATTAACTCCATAACAATCCAGCAGTTACTTAGCTACAAAACCAGTTAGCGATGACATGAAAACCAGCATCCTATTTTTATACCCAGTATTAATGGCTTTATTGGTTTGTAGTGTCTGTTTGTTCTAAACAAAGAGCGCTCATGAGTTATGTGCTGTTCTCTTTTGTAAGTTGTATACTGATGTACAGAGGGTCTCTGTAGGGTTGCAATCAGGTCTTGTACAAAACAGAGTAGAAGGTTTGACCCAGATCCCTCCCTGCAGTATTTTTAGTGCAGGAGACTGAAAGGGCAGCGTTACAGGAAAAGGCTGAAAAGCAAGACAAATGCAGAAAAGAAAAGAAGAACAAGGAAATAATAGGGATGTAGACATAAGTATAGACATTTAAAACCCTGTTTTGTGGCTTTTGATCCATGTCTGTTAGTGTTTAGGTCATCAAAATATGGACAAAATTAATTTTATTAAAAAATGTGCATTTACAGTGTACAGACTTTCTGGAGCAGAAATACTGATGACATCATGTTGCACTCATGGGCGCGTCCACATTTTTTGTCCAATCAAATGCTCTCTAGAACAGGGGTGTCAAACGCAATTCCTGGAGGGCCGGAGCCCTGCAGAGTTTTGTTCCAACACATACCATGTGGTTTTCAAATAATTTAAATAATTAAATTTTTTATACAAGTACCTTATATGCTCACCAAGGATGCATTTATTTGATCAAAAATACAGTAAAAACAGTAATATTGTGAAATATTATTTAAACATGTAAAATAATGATCCTCTATTTGATTATATTGGGCTGCTTAATATTTTTTATGGAAAACACGATCATTCGGTTTTATAGGATTCTTTGATGAATAGAAAGTGCAAAAGAACAGCATTTATTTGAAACAGAAATCTTTTGCAACATTATAAATGTCCTTACTGTCACTTTTGATTAATTTAAAGGGGTCATATGATGCGATTTCAATTTTTCCTTTCTCTTTGGAGTGTTACAAGCTCTTGGTGCATAAAGAAGGCCAATCACAACGCACTGGATAGCTGGCCAATCAGAGCACACCTCGCTTTTTCAGAATGATGAGCTATGTAAAAATCGAAGCGTTTCAGAAAGGCGGGGCATAGAGATAATGTGTTTTTTGAACCTTAAACTGCATAAACACATTTCATTACACCAAATACACAAAATAATGTTATTTTTAGCAGCATCATATGACCCCTTTAATGCATCCTTGCTGAATAGCAGTTAGATTAAATAGTAATAATATTTCTCTTTTTTTACTGTTTTACTGTATTTTTGATCAAATGAATGCAGCCATTGTGAGAATAAAAGACATTAAAAAGAATTAAAACATTAAACCAATTAAGAAAAATTAATTATTCTGAATTTTTTCATAGGAGGTGTATATAAAACTTTGAAAAATGGTCTTGTTTGCATTTGCATGTGAAAGTCTGGGTTTTTGTGCAAATCTGCAATTTGACATCTGCAAATGTCACTTTGGGGGCTCTGTAAGAATGAGAACAACTCCTAATCCTAGCTGTTTTTTAGATGGATGGTTCTTTGCAAAGCCATCCCTAATTGGAGTGGAGAAAGGAGACATTTGTCACATTTCGATGTACAGTAATTAGGCTTTTCTTGAACTCACTGTACAAAAAGCTCGGCTGTCTCTAAGTCACGGATGATTCTGACCAATCAGAATGTTCAATGCGGATGCAACGTCACCACGGGAGGCGGAGCTGAATCACAGGATAGAGAGAGACACAGCGAATGTGAGAAGATGGAGAGTTTGGCAGCTGTATTCTAGTTCATTCAGAGTTACTTTAAAGACACATCCATGTATACCCACAAAGTTTTCAATAAATCAGAAATCAACCAACTCCATTGAGTGCTTCTCTTCAATTAAGAAACCATCTCACTCAGTCCTGACAGACTGCCTACTGTGTTTCACACCCCCATAATACAACCAACGAACCTTCATTTCAAGTGGTCCTTCGAGCCGGATCCGTGAATCACTGTAGAGAGATGACATCCCGTTCTGAGTCAGATCCTCCTGTTGTCCGACCTAGAAGACAAATAAGGCCGCCTGCACATCTAGCAGACTATCAAGTTAATGGATCAGGCTTTGTGAAGAGAGTGCCATCAGCTAAACATCTGAATTGCACCCTGTCGCCATAAGCAGCGATATTCGTGGTATGTTTCACCAGGTGAGGCTGCTTGCTCCGATTCCTGTGGCGAGACTTGATACCTGAGCGACCCCCCGAGGTGTACCAGTGGCAGGTGCTTCCCTTTGGCACTACGTGCAGTCCCTGCTGTGCCACGTATGCCCTGCAGAGACACGTCACGGATCACAGTCAGCCAGGAGACCAATTCAGAGAGGTAATTGAGAGATCATTTTACGTCGACAATTGCCTGCACAGTCTTCACTCCCCCCAAGAGGCTAGAGACCTAGTTGATCAACTTCGAGCACTTCTAGCCACCGGAGGCTA